CAGCGGGATGCGGCAGCCCCAACGCTCCTCCGCAAAGCGGGGGGTGTTGAGTGGCCAAACCGTCATGATATGGCTCAAGAATAAAACAATTGCCGCCCGTGCTGAATATAGGTAGTTCTCACCTTTCAACAGATTGGCTGTGATTTGGAAAGTCATTAAAATGACTTGCGAAGGACCAGATTGGCACCGCTGCAAGGCGTAACCATCTTTGATGCCACGCAGCGTGGCCCAAAAACGAAATTGTAACTTGCCCTTGAACGATCCGAACCAACCTCCAGAACGAGTCTTCCATGCAAACGTGGGCTTTCTGCCAGAAGAAGAAGTCTCCAATTGTTTGCAAGCCGGGCAAGGTCAAGCCAAGCAAACCTGCCGTACAACGTTCGCGCGCTACCGCGAATTGAAACTACCGCGTCTACCATGCAACAGTCTGACATCTGCCAGCTTCAGCTGTTTCTTTTTCAGAAGCGAAACGCAAACAACAGCAACACAGGGTGACTTGTATCGAAGAGCAACTGCTTCAAGCACTACCGTTAAATTGTGTTTGTGACCGCGTTCGTTTCGTTGAAACTTTGACTTTACTCATTCCAACAAGCGCCTTTGTTTTTTTGCTAAGACGCACACTCTAGCAGGCAACACCTGGATTAAGTGTTATTGATCGGGTGCAGCTTGTGGGGCAGCGGAGGACAAAGACAAAATTACAGAAGCAACGGAGAATGAGCATGGCTTCTGAGTCTGTAGCTGTGCCCTGAAAGGGCAAGGGGTGCTTGCATGCTGTCAGGCATGCACATCGGACACGGCTCTAATCTGAATGAGCCTTGTCTGAGAATGCTCCGTTGCTGATGCTTGCAAGTCCCTGCTGCCTCTGGGCTGTAAGTTTTTGCTCGCAAGACACAAGGGCCGCAAGCACCAATTTGTCTGGTTTCAAGGGCCCAAACTTGTTGGGAAAAGATGATGCAGCCGTGTGGTTCAGTCGCCTTGCCCCTTCCGAAACCATTTTTGGCTTGCGGACCCTTGGTGGATCGAGGAACAATACCGATCGTGGAACTGAAAATATATAAAACGTGCAGTAGCCATTGTAGACCAACTTCTTAGCTTTGCTTAACTCTGCGCCAATTGCAGTTCTCCTCCTTGGTAGCTTGTGATTGTTGCCAGGATTGTCAAAGGCTAGGCTCATGTCCTGTGGGCACTTAAAGTCTGCAGTCAACTACATGATTTACGGGCTGAAACTGTAGGGATTGCAAGTGGCCGCTTCAAAAAAAAACAAAACAACGATAGTTTAACATGGAGGATTATTGCCCGCATGGCTGAATTTTTGACAGAAACAGTGGTTGCTGGAAGGGGCTCACCTGTGCTGCGTTTTCGGCAAAGTTGCTGGACCCTGAGGCTGCAAACCTTAGCGCAAACCCGAAAAAAAGGTGCCAAAGCGATACATCCATGCGTTTGCTTTGCGGACGGACGGGACATTTACTGGACAAAATCATGGGCAATATCATGTTTTTCGATGATGTCCGCGTCAAACAACTTGATTGAGTTTAGTGGTTGCAGACTTGCGTATGGTCTTGTCATGGTTGGCCGGATGGAATGCCAACCTGCTGGTCTCCCGACATCCTTTGCAGTTGAATATAGGCTCAGAGAGGGCTTGTAGTGTGGACATTGAGTACTCGTCAAGACAACTCCAGCTGAACACAATGTCCAAGTGTGGGTGTGTTTCTTTCACTGTACCACGTTTGGTGTTGCTCTAATACGGACTCAACCGGAAACCACTTATTTAGAGGGTTTCCCATTCGAGGAGGAAGCCATTGCATTGCTCTTACGGCAACTCAGCGGATCGAAACTCAAATTTAGTGCAAGGGAGTTCTTCGATTCAGCGCGTGCGAACCGCGTGTTTTCAAGCTGATTCTGCGCCATCTCGCCGGAGCGCCATGCTCATGAAAGTGAAGGTGGGCAAGCTGGCTGTTGCAATTTGCAGTGCACCGTGACTGCTTGTGCCGCCATTGGCAGCATGCTGTTTACCTGGCATCATCTCAAGGTTGAAGCTTTTATATGCAGGAGACTTGCGATAGGGTAGGATGTTGTTGCTCCCCAACTATAGTTTGCATGGTTGCCAAAAGTAAGATGAACCATGCGTGATCCTTCATCTCAGTTTGGGCTGACTTGAACAGTTGCTTTGCTGCAAGCTCTTTTGGCCCAAATAGAGACATCGGATATATATGCATGAGGCTAGGTGACCACATGGCGAGGAGAATGTTGCCATTGCAACGCAATGTGCCGTTCTCAATCGTGCAGGCAGTTTTGCTTCTGCTCTGGTGCCAAGTGATGTTTCTGGTGCCAAGGTTTCGCGCCTGCCATCGTTGAGTCTTGGCGTAACTTCTTTTTGTTTTGTTTTTGTTTTTGTTTTAGTTTACAGACTTTGGTTTGTAGCATTACCGTAGTTGTTTTCCGGTATTCGCAGCATTGGCTGTGTCACTACGCGTATGTGAGGGCTCTGCTTTATGCCTTTGCTTGCTCGACGTGGTGCTTCTTGGCCATCGGGCACGGACCCCCGAAATCAACACGGACTGTGGCTTGGCCTGCAAATGCTGAATGTGCTTCAAGCTTCTTCCCAGCAAGCCTTACAAGTGGGCTTGTGCAAAGCTTAGGTGTTGACCGGGTCCTCCCTGCCAGCGCAAATTCCCATGGAGGATGGATGCTTCTTTACATTTGTCAAGAGGGTGCGATAATTTGTTGCTACCTGCCAACTTTTGTGCGGACCTTTGCAGGCCAAGATCACGAGGTCGGCAGTAGGCGTTGCCGGCTTGACGTCGGAAGACCTGAACATGTTGCTTGGCGTGAACATGGTACACGAGTTTTTCCGACAGGGGGGAATTGATGATTGGTTTACTGTCATGTTCGAAGAAATACACCAACACATGCACACACACACACAAGCGGATAGTTTGAGCGTGAGCATGGGCGTGGAAAGAAAGCTGCTAACAGGCCTGTGCGGTCATTTTGCTCCAGGTGTGGCAAACACCTGGAAGCACCGATTCGAATGTATTTTGTCTTACAAATGCTTGAACTCAGGTTGTTCCAAGCCCTCGTGGCCATTTCACCAGTATTTCTCTACCGCTTCATTCTCGAAACAGGCTGGACCATGTCAGACTTGGCGCGGGCCTTCTAAGTTCGGAGAAGAGTTGCTACAGATTTGTTTCCAGATCGGCATTTGCATGGAGTCTTTCGTTTGCACGGTAAAAACCTCAGAGCCAGTTGTGTGGGTCATCGATTCGCCATGTTTTATACTTGCAGTCAGTTTGCTGCAGGCCGACAAAAGACCGCGCGCAGTGACAATATCTTTGGGTACACGGAGCCTTGGAGCTGTTTTAATTAGTTCACGACCTTGCAAGCCACTAAGGACGACACGGTCGCATGTGCTTGCGCTTTGCAGGCATGGGAAGATACCAAGCGAGATGGTCGTTACGTCGATGTGGTGAAGAGTCTCACAGGTCTGGAAGTGCTGGAGAGGTGGGACCCGGGAGATGCCGCGAACTCTGCTTTTTGTTGGTGATAGGGAACCGCGTTCTCCATACCATATCGTTATACCGTTAGACCGCTTGTGATTTGCCATGTGTCATTGGGAAAGCCTTCTAGTGGTGTCGCAGTGGGCAATTCAACCTGTGCCTAAGTCATTGAGTCATTCCAGTTTTGACATAGCTCGCATGTCCTCCTGCTCCGCCTTGCAGGCTGCAGGGGCAGCTAATGTTCCTAAACCTCTTGGCAGCCGTTCCTTGTCTGGATTGCACTGTTTGCATGCAAGGAGCATAACTTCAGAACTCGGACATGTAGCTGCAACTTGCCAAGGGAAGCATCTTCTACGAAGAGTATGTCGTTCCACAAGGAGCTCAATTGATGTGGGGGTTGCCCTAACAATGATTGATTCCCTTTGGGTCTCCCTCTGCACATGCAAGAAGGCGAACCCAATGTTTGGATTCAGCTCAGGAGCACCAGACTTGGCCTTGCCTCTCGTACCCTTCGCTGTTGGCTTCTTTGCACTCAGCCTGCTACTTGCGTGCGGGTCTCAGTTGAGAAGCAAGCTTGGGCTGCAGTTTGGTGGGTAGGGGTGAATGGCTTGCAAGGCCATTGTATATGATGCTTGCAGGTTCAGAACAAATGAGTCCAGATCCCGGTTTGCACGGGCTCGAGACCTATGGGACGATATTCTCAATATTTCCAGGAGCTCTTGAGAGCAGCTCTTCTCTTGTGGCGTGCAAGTGTGTCATTGCTAAGATTGATGTTGCATGAGGATACTTCTTCAGAGTGCAATGGAACAAGCATGTTTTGCAATACTTTTAAGGCCCTGGACAGTGCGTGCAGGAGCCTATACCAGCAAACCAGCCAAACATTGGATCGTATCCTTGCTGCAAGAGCTGGCATACACGCCTGACAGACGCTATGCACTCAGGCGATCAGTTCATGGAGCTCGCAAGATGGATCCCGGCGTGGCTACGCTGCGCTTAGTTTGGCGGAAGTTGACACTTTCGCCCAAGTGAAGCTCTAACTCTTCAAACTCCTTTTACCTGGCAGTCTGGATTGCGAGCCGCATGTTTGGAATGGCAATATGACAATGCACATGTTTTTTTTCTCCTGCCTTTGGCACGAGCCATCATTGGCCAAGCTCCTACAGTACAGGAAAAGCGAGCGCTGTAAAACTAGGTCCTTTTGCTGTCTATTTGGAAGGAGGCCGACACGCAACACACAAAGGCCCATTATTTTTACAATCTTGTTGGTGGGACAGCGAGCGCCTTTTGAATGACAAATGATTGGACTGCAAAAATGCATCACATCCGATGCATACGGCTGAGCTTCCACTGGGTCTGGGAGTTTCTCCCAAGATACCTTCTGACCAAAACAGCCTCCGACCAAAACAGCTCCCCCCAACAAAAGCTGGCCGCAAAAAGCTGCATCGCCCAAACTGGGCATCCTTGCGCACCCGTTTCTTTAAAAGAATCTTTCTGGGGTTTCAGGTTCCCAGCTGCGCTGCGTGCCCACCTCCGCGGCGCCAGCGGGCGGGAGCTGCGGCAGGAACTGCGCGCCTCCCGTGGCCCGGACCACGAGGCCCACGAGGCGCCCGAAACGACGCGGGCACGACGGGAGGGGCCGTCACGTTGGGATGGACGGAATGCGGTATGAAATGGAACCCCATGGAAAAGAAACAAGGTCCAAGGGGCCAACTGAAATGCAAATTGTCCTGAAAATGGGGGGATTGCTTCGGAGTTGTCTTTCCTTCAACACATCCGAGGGATGGGGAACGTCCAGAATTCTTTTGAGAGGCTCCAGATTTGAACGTGCAAGCACGCACGCATGCCAACTGGAAGGTTTCTCAGGGTGACCAGATGGGTTCGGCCAGGTGCCAGAGGTTGGAGGCGTGACGGAGGCCGAGATCGCGGAGGCGCCACATTTTTTTTGGGGGGAGGCGCCAGTTTCGCTCTGGCGCGAGAGGTTCTGAATCGACCATCTGGACTCTCAGCTCCGCTTTTCGTGTTGCACCGTATTGCAGCCGCAGCCCCAGATCTGCCGATTTGCGCTCCAACTCAGGGAAGGGGGTGACGGTCCCCAGGCAATAACAGCGCAGCTGAACCTGGCAGAGCCAGATCGAGTGGCAATGGAAAGCTCGCTGCCTGGGCCTCGAGCGTCGCCTTTCTTACAGCGATGAGCGGAGAAGCGCGCCAGGTCAAAGCTCTCCAACATGGTCGGCTCTTGTGAGGCCCTTCGTGTCCCACCGGTGCAATGCTCAGAAAGCGGAGCCATGTGCAGATCTGCCGGCATTTCGAAGATCTCTTTGCCCTTTGCAGATGCCTATGAGCTATGCGACGCACACTTCCAGCAGCTTGCTCTGCAAGACGTTTTGCGTGTGTGTGCTTTGGTTCAGCCTCATGTCGGATGGGTAGTTCTCCAAGTTGGGAAACGCCCAGGTGGCTTTCCTTCTTTGATTGAAACACCGTTCAAAGAGAGCTCTCCGTGTTTTGAGACGGACGATGCTTCTGGTGTTCGAGGCTTCCAGGTGCTGTACCTGGTGCTTCTTCCCCTCGCACTGCAGCAGCTGGGTGTCCCCGCCTCGAAAGTAGCAGAGATACTCGTTTCGTTTCCGAGTGAGAGCCGAGGGTCACGAGTCTGTGGTTCGTTTCAGGATGTTTGCTTCTTGGCCACCTTTTTGAACAAGTGTATGCTCCACTAAAGGTTTAGTCTTCTTGGAGGTCTGCCAACTCTGGCCAACACAGGCAGAGCAAGGGGGGGAGCACATCAAGGGGCTTTCCAGATTCTCTCCAACACCCGCAGGGTTGGGGACATGGATACTCAACTTGTCCATGTGCATGTCAAATGACCAAATTACCAAATACACACTGCTTTTCCGTGGCTCAGCTCGTTTACCGAGGCCGGAGCTGTGATAGCCGAGCAAATTGTCGCATATGCATTACTCGGCTACTTGGCAGCTGAGGGATGGCTGTGACTGATGGCTCGTGTGCATGGGCAGAGCAGAGCTTTTTGGTTTTTGAGACGGAGCTGCCTGGTGCTGCCTTGTTTTCATTTTGGTAATCACTTGTCTCCACTGCAAGTGCATTGCAAGGTGTGGGAGGTATTGCGGACTCTTTGGAGGAGACGTGCCTACTGGAATGAATGCTGGGATTCGAAATCACACGTATGCCGTATGCTCGAATTGGTGAAGTGCAGGAGCCGTTTGTCGCCTTGCCAATCGACAAGATCTGTGCCGTCACAGCTCTGGAGAGTCAGGCAAAGCGGCCAAAACTGTGATTGCCGTAAGAAGAACCAGAAGAACCAGCTTCAAGAGAGCAAATGCCTTGAGCTTGCCTCCGAAATTTTGGTCAACAGGGCGTTTTCGGTGGCCAACGGCACATGGTTGGTTGGTTGGTTGGTTGGTTGGTTGGTTGGTTGGTTGGTTGGTTGGTTGGTTGGTTGGTTGGCTGGCTGGCTGGCTGGTTGGTTGGTTGGTTGGTTGGTTGGTTGGTTGGTTTGTTGGTTGGTTGGTTGCTGGCTGGCTGGCTGGCTGGCTGGCTTGCTTGCTTGCTTGATTGGCTGGTCCGTTGGTCCGTTGCTCGGCAGGTTTCGGGCTGGCTCGGTTCGATGTGTTTTGCTTTTGTGTGAATGGCATCCAGTTTAAACCGAGACCGGAGCTTTGGCAACTAACCTTGACAAGCACCGAGCTTCTCACAGCATTGCACGTAAGCGTACGGATGTTCCATAAGTTCCTTGTGTGAGGCCCCGAGCTTTGCCAGGGTCAAGTCTGTGCTAGGGCTAGGCAAACAACCTGCAGCCCTGATTTCGCCCTGGCTTTTGTTGCAGGCTCTCCGCGACGATTGGGACAGGCAGGGTCTCTCTTTGTGTCTCGTTTGCCTTTGCCTAGTCTGTCCATTCGTAGTAAAAAAGAGTACGGACAACTCTCAGGATGTGCTTGCACTCCAGACCTCAACCTGGGCATACAGAAGATAAGCACTGCATATCCAGAAGTCAAGCTAGATTCCATTGGGTACAGTCTGGGTACTGTCTGGGTCAACTTCCCGCATATTTTTCTGCAGCTTTCTAGCGGCGGCTCTGAGGCTTCAAATGGGAGGAGGGCCAAGCAAAGGATTGCCATGCTTTGGTCTCAGTCGATGCAAGAGTGATGGACGTTCAGGTCCGCCAGCGCGTGTGTGTGTGTGTGTGTGTGTGTGTGTGTGTGTGTGTGTGTGTGTGTGTGTGTGTGGTGGTGTGTGTGTGTGTGTGTGCGCAAGTCGAGTTTTGGACAAAAAACTGAGAAGTCAAGCGGCAACCCAACCTAACAGGGTGGGTATTTTGCCATCCATGTTCTTGTCACAATTTTTCGCAGCCGTCCGAGGGTATGTCTTCAAGCCGAGCCTTGGCCTGTTACGTGGGGTTGGGGTCTTTTGCCTCCACTGGGATTGGAGCCCAGGACTGCAAATGTCTTGGCCAAGAAGGTTGTCACCTCCGAGCAGGTGGAAATGCAGTACAGCTGATGCTGCACAGCTCAGCTACAGTGCTTTTTGCAGGGGTTCTGTTGCAGACGCATCGAATCCATGCGCCTTTTGCGGAAAACGCTTGCTGGCACTGCACCAAGAAAACCACTAGCGCGCGGTCCGGTAGTAGTTTCAGTTTCAGCCGGCTGCGAGCTCGCAGCGCCCGGCGTTTTGCAAATCTGCACCTCAAACCATCACGCTTGTTGCCAAGCATTTTATGTGTCTGCAAAACGCGTTGGCAAGCCGTCGCGACAATGTTTTTTTCTTTTTAATGTCAAGAAGCACGAAGCACACTGCTTTGAACCGACGAAGTGTTGGTTCTACCACCTCCACAACTCTCCGTATTTAGCAATGGCGACTTCCCTGTAAGCCATTGATCCCTAGCTTCAGAGGAGTGTGCTGCACTGCCACGTACCATTCACAGTGCATATCTGAAAATAGACTGGTCTCAGGCTGGGCACTCACCAGCGAGCGCTTGCCGGCACGGCTTGTGACAATGTGCAGAAGCGGCTTGCTTCCTGCAGCTGGACTTGGCATCTGCCAAGTTCAGTTAGGAGTAGGACTACAATGATTTCTCGCCTTGGCTTTCTTTCCTGTACTCATGAACTACGCTTAGTCGTCCAGACTAGATTGTTGCATTCCGGATTTGATCGCCAAGCGAATCTACCCTCTGCGGACGAACACCGGAGTGGCTGACGCTGGATTGTAAGATAGGAATTCTGACAAGTCATGTCCGATGGAGACAGAAGAGGTCGAGTCCTTGCCTTCGCAGGACTCCCTCCCATTCGCTATTTCTGTAGGCAATCCTCGGCGAATAGTTTGCCATGGGTCGCCCGGGCATCGATTATTGCAAAGAGACATGCCGGATGGCCCTTCCAGACTATTCACAGCCGGTGACCGATGTCTGAGACGTCTGTGTCTGCAATGCGTGCAGCAAGTCAGGCCACAGCAAAGCGCGGAACGCCACAGAACCCCTGCGGCCAGCGCGTTCGCAAGAGAAAGAGCTCGCTCTCAGCGCAGTCATGTTTAGGAACTCGGGATAGGCTGTTGGACAAAAGGTCTTTGAGCGTCCATCTCGTTCGCAAAGTCTTGTCACGGTCTTCAGGAGGATTTCTAGTTGCACAGCCTTGACCACAGCACAAGGCATCGCACTTGTTGCTTGAAAGTTCGGCTCAGACGTGTTTGTAGAGCCCTGTGGACGCCACCAATCCCGGCTGTTGATTTTCCCTTTGGATCTTTGTGCTTCTGACACATTCGACCGGCACGTGGCCTCCGCACAAGTGGCAGGGAAGCCCCATGCTCACAGCCTGGCCTTTGTCACGAGCGCCAGCTTGTTTTCTGTCTCAGGAAGTCCCCGTCCAAACGCGTCCTTCACCAAGTCCAGACCTTTTTAAAAGGGCGACCCGCAGGATTGTCATGCGAGCATGGCTCGGAGCCGTGCTGCTGAGCGCGGCGAGCGCTGCCGCGCCGCGGCTGCTGCTGTCCCGGCCTAGGAAAAGGGCAGGCGCGGGGTGTTTTCCCGTTTGGGCGCCCGGAAAATCTTCGAGACCTTGATCTGACTGCAAGGGCCCTTCAGCGCCTTGAATGGCCAGGCGCGAGGTACTATCCCTATCAGCAGCTACTGGACTGAGCCTTGTCAGCAACATCATCTCCTCATCAAAATCAACCCGGATCGGTGCTCAGGTCATTCGGTGTGTCAAATACAAGTCCCAACACTGGGCAGGTCTTGAGGGTGCTTTCTTGTTACTTTGTTTGGCGCTTGGTACGTGGTTGTCGCTGCGTCAAAGCTGCGGCGAATACTCATGTGACAAATTGTGCAATCTTCATTCCTTTTCTCCTTGAGCCATGTTGTTGCTTTGTAAGTAACTGCTGTTTGGAAGGCGGTGGCGACATCACGCGTCGCAGGATTGACTTTAGGCGCTTTTGCAATCTGTTGAAGAGCCGACTGTCCGCCCATGAGTATATCGCTCAAGTCCCACAAGAGGTGGGTGTTTGCCTTGCTTCTAGAATTGCTTTTCGTAGAAGCGGGAATGCATCTTCCATCCATTCTTTGCATTGCCAACGGCGGCTTCGTCGTAGGCTCCTTCTTCAGCGCAGGTCGGGATGCAACCGGCCACTCGCCGGAAAAGTCGCCTCGTTTTCGAGGCGAGGGCTCCAACTTCAGCCGGGGCTGGCGGGACTTCCGGCGCCAGGTGGCCGCGAATGCTGCGCAAGGCGGGCCGAAAGTGGACGCGGAAAATTCGGCGTCGATCTGTCGAAGCCGATTTCTGGACACTTGGGCACGTACCACGGGTTTCTCAGCCAATGTGAAACACAGCCGCACTTGTAAGTTTCCGCGGCCTGAACTCCGGAACTGAGTCTGACAATTCCTACCGTGTGCGTGAGTGTGTGTGTATGTGTGTGTGTGTGTGTGTGTGTGTGTGTGTGTGTGTGTGTGTGTGTGTGTGTGTGTGTGTGTGTGTGTGTGTGTGTGTGTGATTTAATATCAGGTATAATATATATATATATATATTTAGAGATTGTTGGCGGTGCTGCCGTTTCACCAGACGCAGTGCTCGTGTGAGCATTGTTTTTTTTGTCGAGTCTCCTTCCTTGCCATCGACCTCGTGGAACCTCACTTTGTGCCAGGCTTCCCGGAGAATGATGAGCTTCTTGAGAGAGCCCGGCGCATCCACGCGGAGTGGGCCGAGGCGAAAGCTTTCAGCTTTGGGAGTTGAGGTCGAGTCGACTTTTTGCGGCTTCCGCTTCATTGGGGGAGGATGACCAGCACACGTTTCCGCTTCCCTCACGGTCTGCAGTGCAAACGCGTTTGATCTGCGGTCCGAAGTTTTTTTTCGAGGGGGGACTCGGAATTGGAGGCTGCGCATGTAGTGCTACTTGGCCACGCATTTTAAATAAGGACCCCCCTGTAAAGTGGTTGGTGGGCATAAAGCCCCACCTAAATGATGTCCACCAAACATTTCCCGGAGTGTCCAAAGTTGGCACCAGAGGGTCCCCGATGAAAATTCCTGCCCATCCAAAGTGGACCGAGCCGAGGTGGCCTCGGCCCGCAGCATGACGCAAGTGCGGGTTCTGGTGAGACAGGCTGAGGTGGCAGACCTGCGCTGCTCGGCTGGAGACTGCGAGTGTTTGGATCCATTTCGGGGGCTTTGGGAAATCCTCGGGGTTTAGTTTGAGGGACGGTCGCTTCGACATGAGGGGAGTGTCCTAAGTTGAGCACGCAACAGAATCCGCGTGATATTCCAGCGCATCCTGTTCCTGTTCCCCGCTGTGCACGCAAGACAGCACATCTCGTGACAGCAAATCTTGCTTGGCATCCAGCTGCCGCATCAGGTGATTTTTGTCTCTTCGGCTTTGCATCTGCCCTGTTCCTTGGCTTGACAGGCGTAGAATCCGGGGCCTGGCATGATTGTGAGGTGTGCCCCCCATGTAGCTGTCTCAAGCCTTCCACAGGTTCATCATGTTCCGGCATGAGAAAACCTTCCAGCTACTGGAGGACTTGCACAACGTGTCGGCCTTAGAGGAAACTGTTCGCGCTCTTGAGGATCTAGTCTCGGTTGCCCAGGTCATGGGCTGGTCTGAGTGGCCAGTGGACTTTTCCGAGTCATCGGGATGGCCGCTCGGAAGCATCTCAGCCGAGCATGTTGATACGGCAAGGCCTCTTGGTCTCGTTGGTTTCCAGTCCTAGAGGGTCCTCGGTTTTCTTGCTTGCAGGGTAGTCCAGTTGCAGGCCGGCCTACTGGCGCATGGCTCCGCTGCACCTGGAGCAAGCCAAAGCCCGCATCCTGGCAGATAGGCTGCTTGAGCGGGGCTCAGCTTTGGTCACACAGCTGAACATGATATCATGGGTTTGAGGAGGACATGGGGAGGACATGGGGGGAGACAACCCACATTCCCAGAAAGCCCAGGGGACGACCCAATTTTACCCTGTTTCTTAGGGCACAAAGAACTGTGTTGGTGGATTATATGAGCCACACTTAGCTCTTTTGATTCATTACTTTCTGGGTAGACCCCTCCAGCGCCAGATTGACTCACATGGGCAACTGGCAAGATAAATACTTTTCTAAGATTGGGACTCCTCCTGAAAATTATATGTTTACCGGGTTATATACCCTTGGCTTCCTGTCAAAGCAGGCAAAACCGTGTGCCCGATTTTCCAAAAAAATGGAAGTCTATAGTTGATGCTAAAAAGGACATGAACAGAAGGCCCAATTCGATTTCTCCCAAGCGGACCGCAGTGGTCTTGTTTGTCCGCGAAAGAACTTGTTCCCATCGATGGCGCAAGTGGCATGGTGGAGGCCGATCAATTTTCAGGCGGTGACATCAGCTTCAGCGCGGAGAACGCTTGGGGAATGGAAGAAGAGATGCTGCCGGCTGCAACCCCGTCAGAGGTTGAGGCTGGGCTGTTGAATTTCAGGCAGGTGAGGTTAAGATTTCAAAGATGCATGCTGATGCCTTTCCAAGAAGCCAGCGAGGCTGGTGGAACAAGGAACTCGCTGCCAGCGATACGGATTTCCCAACCTTGCTATCGTTTTGGGAGTGGCACAATGGGCATGCTGGACTTTGCATCCTGAGTCGCTCGCGCGTGGCCCACTTGGCTTGCACTGCTTTCGCTCTCAGGCTGCGTTGGTCCAGTGGCTGTCTGCCGTGGGCGCGCCCGTGCCTGCTCGGCCTGACGCCCTCAGCGTGCCAGCGCCCTTTGTGGGAGAGCTGCCGCTACGGAGGTCGGGCTTTGTAAGCGAGGTTGGTTTCCTTTTGGCTTTCCTTCCTCTCTAGCCAAAACGGGGTTCCCAGACAGGGGGGAACATTGCGTAGCAGCCAACGAAAACTGGGGATGTGTACGAAACACTTCCCAATTTTACAGCGATCAGATTGACAGCGAGAATCAGTTGCGAGCTCCAGCAAGGCCTCGACTCATCGAGGGCTTCGAAAACGGAGAGTTGCCACTGCTTGTGCTGTAGCCATGCTGCGAGGCAGCTGTCCTTACTGGTGGCAGGCGCGGCAGGGTAGGTTTGCATTCCTTCCAGGACATTCTAGGAGCCTGGGCCAGTGATTTCATGGACTCTTGCATGGCGCTGTCGCACGTTTCCGTGGCAAGGTCACCACATGGGGTCATCCCTGGAGCCGTACACCATGCTGCGCCAGGCCGACCGACTGCAGAATGGGATGTATGATTCTGCTTGGGACTTGGTGGACATCAACAAACACGGGATGGATGTCTAATTTTGGAGGGTCCAAGCATCAAAATCGGTGGCCATGCGGGCCCCCGAAAGCTTGAAGCTTCGAACCACGTGCTCCCCGTTACTTCCCAGGCAATGTCCGGCGCTGACATGAGTGTGGAGGCCATGGACTGGGCATGGCATCGAAGAACTGTGGGGTTTTGGAGGTTCAATTTCATGGACAGCGCCACCCATCCGCAACCATGGCCTGCAAGGAGAGCCTTGGTATCAAAGTTGCTCCAGGGACCCTATGATTCCTTCTGGATTTGCGTTGACTGAGGTTTGGGTACTGCCATGAGAACCAGCAGCTAACGGATTGGATGAAGCGCTGGGAATGGAAGCATTCCTGGGCCTGAGACTCAATGATTCAACGTGAACGGCAAAAACTTGGTGGGTGAGGAAGATGACTATGACTGGCGCGGGGCCAAAAAGCAGAGTGAGTCCTGGAATTTTGTTTGCATTCTCGTTAGGATGCACGAGCAGTGGCCCGAAGCCTTGGAGGGTCTGGAGCTGAGAGCTCGGTGCGGCTCGCTGGTGCGGCTCGCTGGTGGCTTTGCCGGTTCCGTCTTCTCGCCGGACGGTTTCGAGTGCCAGGACTGGCGGGGATTCTCAAGTCCGACCCCTTCCTGTCGAGCGTGGAGCTGGTGGTGTGTGGAGGTCCAGCCTGGCCCGGCGCCAAGCGAAGCAAGCGAAGCCCGGGAGTGTTTGGATGGTTTTCATGACGATTTTCACGATGACATGATCCAACAAGGAAGGTCCCAGACGAACTGTTGCCTTTTTGTCTTTACCATCCACCCGCATGTCTTGTTGCAGGGGGTCTATGTCCATTGAGTGTGCCGTGAAAAGGCAACAATACGTTGTCCCGATTTAGATTTCCCTTTTTGGAGACGAACCCACACCAACGTCCTCTGACTGACACAGCGGAGCGTGGCCGAGGTTTTGCTGCATGATCCGCGCTGTGAAGGCCAGGAACAGCGATTGAGATCAGAGGCAAAAGCCCCTCTAATGATCTCTGAGGGCTGCGTTTTGTTGTTCTCCCTTTCTGTCAAAGAGACCAAGGCACCCCACCAAGGCAACCCAACCGGGATATTCGCCAAACCGGTCAGGCAGTTCCCATGCTGCTCTACTTTGCGTGGCCGCTGGTGCCGCTCATTCCCCCGGGTCTCAGGCAGGGAACCCCTCACAACGATGGGTCAAAGCGATTTGCGCAGTTGGACCCTTTGGTTTGCGACGCTCACAACCCCCACAATGGTGATTTCCTTTTGGTTTCCCGGGCCGTTGAGTGTTGTGACTGGGGGTTACCGAAGCCCCTTTGAATCAAGGAACAGGAGAAAAGCGCGGTCTGCGCACAGCAAGGGTTATGAGCCCAAGGACGTAGCTCCTCCGGCCGAGCAATGGATGCTGGCATGCGGAGGAGGCGAGCCCGCAGCGTGGATGCCGGGATGGGCATCGTGGTGGCGGAGGCCGAGGGCGAGCTGGAGAATGGGCCGCCACACGCTGGGGAGGAAGCACAGGAGCGACGGGTGGACATAAGCCCGTTCTGGAGTCAACGCGCGCGAGATGAAGCGGCGCTGAGGGCGAGCCGACTGAGTGGGCTGCCTCCAGTGCCGGGGACAGATGAGAAGCTGGGTGAAGGAGAAGCTCTTCACGAAGAACCTGGCCTGGAGGGTGGACTGCTTGGAGGGCATGATCGTCAGAACGGTGAGCACCCTGAGGAGTCAGCAAAGTGAGTTCTGGAGTGAGGTCAGGAGGGACCTCATGACGGAATTGGAAGGCGCCAGAATGGCGAATGGTGGAGAGGGATCTGGGCCTGAACCTGGTTTTCCACAGGCGAAAGAACAAGGAGCTGGAGGACATGGTCAGAAAGCAGCACGGCGAGATCATGGCCGAGCTCTTCAACATGATCACGGAGCTCTACAGGCTGATGAGGGAGTTCCTCAACAGCAAAGAAGAGAAGAAGGCGGTGGACCTCGGGGAGCTCTACTACCAGGTGAGGGTGAAGTTCAACGTCGAGCTCTACTACCAGGTGAGGGTGAAGTTCAACGGCGAGCTCTACTACCAGGTAAGTTCAACGGCGGGCTCTACTACCAGGTGAGGGTGGAGTTCAACGGCGAGCTCTACTACCAGGTGAGGGTGGAGTTCAACGGCAAGAGCGAGAAGTTCAACGTCCAGGAGAAGAAGATGATCCAGAGCTAAGGGATCAGAGGTTGTGGGAAGAGGAGTGCAGAAGAACGGAAAGGGCGGTTCCGGGAGAAAAGGCCGCACGAGATCCAGAAGGACGAGGAACAAGAGGCAGGAGAAGTACTCCGTTGAACCTGGATTGGTTCTGGAACGATGAGTTCAAGGTCTGGATTCCAGAACGACCTCAACCACCCGATGACGAGGAGCTGATCGGGGAAATGGATCTTGCTCAAGAGATGGAGAAGAACTTCATGAAGGCATGCCGAAAGATCCCGGGGGATGGAGAAGCAGAGGGATTATCTCTTCGGGATCATCAAAGGACTGCGCCAGGAGGTAAGGAAATGGCAAGAGGAGGCGGAGGGTTGGCGACAGAGACATCGGGAGCAGGAGGAGCCGAGGTTTCAAACTCCCATGGATGAGATCTTTGTAACGCCAAGTGCATCGGCACCTCCACCACCACCACCACCGCCACCACCACCGAGGCGAGCAGAATCCCTGAAAAAAAGGTGAGGCCGGGCAGAAGATCCAGGTCGCCGACAAGGAGCTTGTTGAGGACGCCGGGGGGAACCAGGTTGCCGGAGGGTGAACCTCCGCTGGAGTTGCAGGTGGTCGGAAAAGGAGAGAAAGGTTGGGAGCCTCAGTGGGAAAGCCAGGACTGACCCACTGGGATGGCTGGAAGTCGTGGGAAAAGGGCAACGAGAAGTGGGCAGAGCAGGTTGAAGCTGGAGCAGAAAGGGCGAGACCAGAGGTGTCAGGCGGAATACTTCGTCGCGGCGGTCTACACATATCCAACAGATAGGGAAGGGCGGTCATTGTTGACGGAGCATCATGAAGAGCCCATCCCGGAGGACGCCGAAGAGACCGAAGTTGACGTTTTGGAGGAGAAGGAGGATGAGGAACAGGTTGCTCCAGAAGAAGCATGGCAAAAGATGGTGGATGAGGCCCAGAATGTCGCGGTCACCAACCTGACGTTTGTGGAGCCAATCAAGACCCGGAAGGTTTCGGATGTTTTGTCGGCAATCGCCAGGATCTATGCACGGCTTCGGGAGATGGGCCTGCCGGTGTATCGTCTGCACACCGATAGGGCCCGGGAACTGATGGCTGCGCAGCTGAAGCGGTGGGCAGAAGACCGGAACATCGTGAAGACAACGGTTCCGGGGGATGCGTTCAAGGAGAATGGAAGGGTGGAAGCAGAGATCGGAGTCCTCAAGAGGGCAACTAGGACGTTGCTGAAGGCGGCGGAGGAGCCCGCAAATTCGTGGCCGATGGCATTGAGACACGCAGGAGAACGGAGGCTTCGAAAACAGTTGCAAGCGGTGGGACTGCCGGTCAAGGAGTTGCTCCCCTGGGGAACGCCCGCGTATGTAAAGAAGAAGAGTTGGAATGAGCGGTACCAGGATTGGAGGTTTGACAGAGAGAAGGTGAAGATCATGGGGCCGGACGCAGCGATGTCATCCACCTCAGGAGGATATTGGGTTTGGAGCTGCGGGGACGGCAGGTGTTTTGCCACGACGGATGCTATTCCGGAGCCCGAGAAGGTGATTGTGGACCTGGGGGAGGAAGTGGTTCTGGAAGAAAAGACGGAGCCGGATTTGTTGATGCTCCGGGCAGAGAGACCAAGCAGGCGACTACGTGAAAAGACGGCCATGTCGACGATGATCGTCGAGGGGGAGAAGGTCACGGAGCAGATCAATTTTGAGCGATGGCACCAACATGCCACAGAGTGGGTCAAGGAAGAGCTGGAGATTCTGGATGCCAGCCAAAAAGATCAGGAACTATGGTTGGGGGTGCTACGTGAAGGACTCCAACGAAGAGGACATATTGAAGCGGCCCTGAATGGCATGCAGGTAAACGAAGCGGTGAAGGCGGAAGAGGAATGGCTTGTGACGAAGACGATCGGCATGGGAGAAGTGAGAGGAGAGCTGGACAGCTGGAAAGAGGCGGCCAAGAAAGAGTACATGGCGCTGGTGGAAGAAAGCAGAGCAGTGAGACCAATCACGAGGAGTGAGATTGAGAAGATTGCTGGTCCAGTGGAGATCATGCCCGGAAAAGCCGTATGCGCCCGAAAGTCGCCAGATGGGAGGAGGAAGGTCAGAGGAGTGGTGTGCGGGAACTTTTCGGCAGGAAAAGGTGCTGATGAGGTGTACGCTGGAGGAGCGGACGCGCTTCAGATCAGCATGGTCCTCAGGACAGCAGCTCAGAGGAGGTGGTCTGTGCTGGGCACGGACATACACACCGCGTTTCTGAATGCGCCCAAGGAGAGAGGATGGGCGGACGGTCATCATGGAGGTGCCGTCCATCTTCAAGGAGTTGGGCATCGCAAAGAGGGACGAAGTGTGGGTCGTCGACAAGGCAGTGTACGGACTGGTCACCTCGCCAAGCGACTGGAGCGTACATCGGGATGGAGAGGTGAGGAAGATGAGATGGGAAGGTGGAGGAAAGAAGCTCAGGTTTGCGGAAACCAAGGAGCCGAACCTCTGGCACATCGTTGAGCATCGTAGGCCTCATGTCGATCTATGTTGATGACGTGTTGCTGGCGGGTGAGGACGAGGCGATCGACTCAGTGAGAGCTACAATGGATGGAGGAAACTGGAGGTTATCGCCGGCAGAACGAGCCACCGTTGCGATTCTGCGGGTTCGAGATCTACCAGAAGGACGGTGGGTGCCTCATCAATCAGAAGGCCTTCGCGGAGGATCTCACAGCCAAATAGGGGATAGAAGACGGTACGGAGACCTTGACCTACAAGTTGCCAGATGAAGAATGTGAGGATGGCACTCCGGAGGAAGTGAAAGAGGCACAGGCTATCACGGGAGCATTGTTGTGGCTGGTGGCGAAGACAAGGCCAGACATCAACGTGGCGGTAGCAGCAATGTCGAGGTGGACGAAGAAAGGAAAACATGTGGTGAAGATGGGCAAGGACGTGCTGAAGTATGTGAAGGCCACAGCAGACCGAGGCCTGAACTATGGGGTAGCTGAGGGATGGGCGTCCAAGCAAGGATTGGGGATGGTGGAGGTCTTTGCGGATATATCCTATGCTTCGGAGGCCAGGACAAGAGCGTGCAGGGGATCATTGGCTTCGTGGATGGAGCTCCGGTGTGCTGGGAGACAATCCGGCAGCCATTTGTGGCGCAAAGCACGGTGGAGGGTGAGCTTATCGGGTATTGCGAGGCGCTTACCGTTGGTAGAGCACTGGTGGCATTGGCGGAGGTCGTCGCTGGAGAGGCGGTGAAGCACAAGCGCATGTACGGGGACAACATGGCGGCCATCAGCCTGGCTTCGAATGGGGCGGGAAACTGGAGGACGCGGCACCTTCGGATTCGAGCTTCGGCACTTCGATGGGCCTTGGAGGAGGGCGAGTGGGTGCTGGAGCATATGCCAGGGACGCAGTTGGTCGCGGATGGCTTGACGAAGATGCTGCAAGGACAGGCCTTCGGCAAGTTTCTGGTCGAGCTTGGAATGGTTAGGGAGGGCCAGTGGGCCAAGAATAAGAGCCATTGGGCCAAAAAAGAAGAAAAGAAGATCGCCAGGGAAAATGAACTGGCGGCAGTAGATGGGCCAGATGGAGGAGCCGAGAAGGCAAGAAAGGTTAACAAGTTGGGCAGGGGAGATGAACCGCCCAAGGGAAAACCCCCTCCAAGTGAAGAGGAGGGTATCTTCTTGGTGGGGATGATCCTCATGATCATCGGTGCGGTAGTCGTCGCAAAGGAGACGGCCAAGGGAACCTTGGGTTGTGCGAAAAGGCTGATGAAGGTCACCGCATGGGTAGATAGAAGTGAAGAAGATCCGAGGATCGAGGTGCAGAAGAAGGAGACCAAGGTCGCCTACGACAAATGGGGAAGAATGTGGAGACGTTGCGAGGGGCTTGAGCAGGTGGACAGCTCTTCATCGAGGTCGGAGGACGGTGAGGAGGAGCTTTTGCAGCAATCTGTGCCAGGCAGGAGTGGTGCAGAAGCAGCAACGAGGACGGAGAGAGATGATGCGGCATCCGGCAAGGCTGCTGTGAGCGCTGCTTGGGTGGAGGGGAGGACCATTGCGGAGGCTGTGGAGGAGACAAAGTCTAACCTACATGGAACCAGTTTCAGCATGACAATCGCGGCCGCGGTTGGACGGTGAAGCAGATGAAGGATGCAGTTGGTCAACAGATGAGGGGCTTGAGCGGGCAGATGCGAAAGCATCTTTTTGCCGAAGCTTTTGAGAAGTGGGTAAATAATCCCACGGGGGCTTTTTCGCTACGAGTAGCGAGGGGGAGCCCGTTGAGTGTTGTGACTGGGGGTTACCGAAGCCCCTTTGAATCAAGGAACAGGAGAAAAGCGCGGTCTGCGCACAGCAAGCCGGGGAAACCACAAAAAGTCCTTTTTGAAGGGGAACCACCAGGACCCTTCCTCGGTTACCATTGCACACGGGACGGCAGATGGTAAGCTAAGTAGAAGCGATCGCCAGGCCGCAGTTCCTCCTGCAGATCCAGACTTTGGGTCAGGCGGCATCGCCGCCCGCCGTGCTGGCCGCGCAGCCAGCACGTGCTGTGCTTGCAGTTACAGGGGTCCTTAGATCTCCCTCTTGGGGGGGGGGGGGGTAGGGGTCATCTTGGGTGACTTGATTGGAACCTAGCTTTGATGGGGCTTCTCCTCGGTTGAGTGATGTTTAAAGGGGACGTCCAGAGACATGTAAGGAGCGGCACGCCGTTTGATCGGTGAGGTTGTTGCCAACTGGATCCTGGCAGCTCAGTTCGCCCTGCAGGCATGCATCACACCCTGCGCTTTCATGGGTATCTATGCCGTCTCGCAGCACATTTTTTATTATTATTGGCTATGATTGTGGACATGGAACCACCTTTTAAAGTGGTTGGCTGACAAGACCCCCCACCTAAATGATGTTCACCAAAGGGTCCCTAATTGAAGCTCACGCTAATTTGGGTGCGCCAAACAAGTCCTTAAACTGAAAAGAAGTAAAAAGTGGCATGCCACTTTTTGTTGCATATAGACCGGCGACCCAAAAAACTCGAATTCTGCCCACAGGTCCGGTTGCCCACGCCTGTGCAGCGGGTGCATGGCCTGTACACGGGCCATACGCACTCCCCTGCCGCGGCCCCAAGGAAAGAAAGCCGGGCGGGGAACGTTCTGCGACTGAACACGGGTTGCCGTGGTCTGACTCGGATCTTCTTTCCAAGCGGCCCAGGTGCCGGCTCCGAATGGCCACCACAGGATCATGTTCTCCCGTTTGGGCGTGTGGTCAGGCCAGTTGAGTTGAGAGGGGCTCGTTTTCGCTTGGGATGGAGTCAAGCCAGGACAAGCAGGGCCGGCTCTGCTTGAACTTCTGTGGTCGATGTTCGGCGAGGAGCGGTTTCAAAGAACCTGCTTTTTCACTGCAGCCTTTGTCCTGACATGTGGCTCAAAATAGCTTGAGCATCCACTAGCCCTTCAAGCGTCCCGACTTTGACACATACTCAGACTGCCAGGAGCAGAAGAAGGGCAGCTTTCCTTTCGAGCCGGTCTTCCTCAGCATCCGCGTGAGGCTGTGATTTGTTCTACACGTGTCAGATCACATCAAACAATCCTCACAGGCAAAATTGTAGCCAGGTTGGGGCTACCTGGAGGGGTATGGTCCAGGGGTGTGTTGGTCAATTCTGAGAACGCTGACCACAAGACAAAGTTTGTGCAAATGAATGTATAGGGACAGGGCTCTACATCCCTGGGCAGCCCTTTTTGCAGAATTCCCATGGTTCTTGGTGGGTGAATAGAAAACATGTTTGTCGAGAGGGGCTCAAGATTTTCCAGCCAGGGGTAGGGAGTGCTTTGATCCAACTTACCCCAAGCCCTCGACGCAGAGGATTCACATGTTTTGAGGTCTCGCGGTGTCCAGACCACACACATGAGCCAATCACCCGAAGGTGTAGCTTGTTTGGGCCCAAACCACCAATCAATTCGATGCTGAAAGCTCTTTGGCCAGGGGTCCTTTGATTTCCCTTTGACGGACCAATTTCAATTGGTACCTCCAACCGGTGCAATGTTTGAGACATGACCCTGACAGCGAAACACATTGGTCTTAGATCAAGCATGAGGTCATCAATCCTTGCAGCTGGAACTGCAGCGGGAACCAATCCCAACCCAGAGAGCCATTGGACACCAGAGGCCTCAAAGAAATCGCAGGCGGCGTGCCATCATTTCTTCGTTTTCGTTCTTTGGCGAGGCAAAAGGACATGTTCTACCTTTCTGGTTGCTTGACGCAGATCCCATGCTACACCTGATCTGACCTTTGCTTGCCCCCGGCAAGGGCTGTGCCTACGATTTTCAGCGTCTCGTACCAGGTGGGTGGCTTACTTTGTGCAGGCAAGTTTGGTGCAGTCGCCAGGAAATGTCGCAGTTCTACGCATGTGTGTATTGGCCGGGAACTTGATTGGCAGCTTTGCCTTGTTTGACATAATTTGGGTGTGTCCTTCCGTTCTGAATGGTGTGTAAAGGGAAGCCAACACGAAGCTGACCATGTCAAGGGTGCCCGAATTTTGGAAGCAATGAATGTTACAGGGAACCACCTCAAAAGTGGTTGGTGGACATGAATCCCCATAAATGATCTCCACCAAGGCCGTGGGATGTCATGATGATGCTCTTCAACGAGCTTTACACCATGCTGGTGCCTCTCTTTGTCCCTGACCGGCACTGGGTTGCCGGCGGCCCGGACTTCCGGCGGACGGTCACTTCGCAGCATGGCGGGCTGCGCTTTGATCATGCGAAGTGCAGGTCAGCACGATGCTCTGGGCCCTCAAGTACAAGACCCAGAACTGGTGGCACGTGCGGGCCAAGAATGTCAGGCAGAGACGATTTCTGCACAAGCATAGCTGCATCCCCAGTCTTTTGACAGGGTCCAGTTCCCCACATGTGCCAGGGTAAACCGACCCTTTGATAGGCAATTGAGACAGCCTGAGTTCCAGTCCTAAGGAGTTCAAAGCCCAAAGTGAGGGCGGACGGCCGCTCTCGCAGGGCCTCTCTGCCCTCGGCCGCGTCGGCCTTTCCGCTGGCCTACGAGCCGTGGATCGGGGACGAGCCCTACGGTGGCCTGGAGCAGGTGGGATCTGTGAGAGTGAACTCCAATCTTTCAAAGGCCCGGGCCCGTTGCGATCCATGCAGCAGGGGGCGATGGCACCCTGGCGCCCCTGCAAAGTTACGAGAAGGGTCCGCCTCCGTGGTCCAAAAAACATGGCCAGCGGCCCCACATGGCGATTCTGTGCGAGGCTATGTATTGGTACTCCCTCACGGACTTCGAGCAGCGCCCGCCTCAGAGCTTGCAGACTTTGTCTTCAGTTGGACCTGCGCGCTGGAGCTTGTTCTGTCAAAATCCGCGTTTCCCAGCATGTTTCTGCTTTTTCTTGGCGGGCCCCTTGCTTGCTGGTGGAGCTCATTTTGAGACCTCCCTTCCAGAGCGCGAGAAGTAGTTTCACGGGGATTGGTCATGGCGTCATGCTTGGACAACAAAGCAACTATCGAAATCCCCAAAACCTGATGATTCGTTCAAAGCGTTCAACCAGAGGCCATCCGAATCCGCCGTTTTTGTAAAACCTTCAAAGGAAGCCCACCAGTTCCACAAGAAAGGCCATCCGAATCCGCCCCCACAACCAGTTCTCTTCACCCCTAGCCGCCCGCTTTGAGTCGAGAGGTTCCCGCATCTGGGGCACTTCCGCAGCGTGCCGGAGCTCCTGGAGCAGCTGCGGAGCCTCCGGCCGGAGGAGGTGAAAGCGGGCATGCGCAGCTTCAACGAGGCGAGGGTTCCAGATGTGGCCATCGGGTCAAAATCAATGGGATCCCATTTCGGGGTAGGTGCACCACCCATTTTGGTCTATTTTAGTGGGGATTGTGATGTTCACTGGGGGTACGGGATTTTGACCCATGGCCATATTTGTCATTTTCAAAAGGTGGTTTGACCAGCACGACTAGTTTTGACAGAGCCATACTCCACAAGAAAACAGAAATATGCAAACAACAAAAACAGATGGGGAGCTGAATGTTGCCTTTCTCCATCTCCTTCCCAAGCAGAGTTCCCCGTATCTCCCCCTTAAGAATCATCCAGCCAAAGGAAACTCCCCTTAAATTGGCCTGCGGTCTTGGCTGAAACACCCTGGTCACTTGATGGCAGCCCCCCGAAACACACAGGTTGCTGGTACCTCCTTCAAAAAAAGTCCCAAAGGTCGTTGTTGGGCCGCTTTCATTTTGCTGTTTTCTTTGAAACCTTCCCCAAAGGGGTCTCTATCACGAATTTCCCTTGGAGACGCAGGCGACTTTGCGGAGCTCCTTGGATTTCTATCGCTGGGCAGCTGCATCTCTGTACCCGGGCTGCAGACTTCAGACTGGGTCAGTTTTCGGGCTGGTCGGAGCTGTGAGGCTGAGCGGATCTGTTCTGCCTCGGCTTTGAGCAGAAAAGACGCGGTCAGGGAGGCCAAGCGTTCGATGCGAATGAACGGCCAGCGCGAACTGGAAGGACCGGCGGATGCCCAAGCCGTCCCGTGTGAGAGTGGCACCCATTGTGTCGTCAGGATCAGATGCATCGTTCAAGAAGGCCTTGAAGGAGTCCCGCTAGAACAAGGCCACGTGGGTTTCTGTATCAGTCTTCTCAATTGCGCGTGCCTTGCCACGTAGCTTGCATTGCCATGTAGCTTGCACTGGATCCTCATGGCGATGGCTTGCAGCATGAACTTGCAACGAAGACTTTTGCCACGAGCTCAATCAGCCCAAGACAGGCAATGCCGCAACTATTCCTGTTTATATCCTCACAGACACGCAATGTTCGTATTGTAGCAGGTTGGAACAACACACTACACGGCTCAGCAGCTCCCTTAACTTGCGCAAAGCAGTGCAGCTTGTGTGGCGGGATGTGGACAAGCGCCTTTGGCGATGATGTGCGGCTGCACATTTTTGATTACTTGTGGCCGAAGGAATGGATGCCTGACAATCAAAGTATGCTTTTCTTGCGGTCCAAGCTGTAATTACGTCTCACTTTGATCTGATTTTTGCATGTTCCAACACGCCCATTGATATGCATTTCGCTGAGGTTGAGAGCATGCTGCCTCTGCGGCGTTGCACGGCAGTTCTTGTCGCAAAGGGATGTGCAAGAGGCGCTTGTCGCTGCGCTCAGCGAGGAGGCCTTCGCCCTCACCTCGCCTCTTTGGCAAACCTTGCGGCGCGCCATGGCCGTGGGGTCCTCCTCATCTCCGGGTTCTCCGGCGGGTTGGCTGAGGGCGGCGTTCGCAGCCATGGGCCGAGCGCCTGGAGCGCCTGGAGCGCGAGCGCCTGGGACTGGGACGTCTGGGTCGGCGCTTGGCGGCGCCTCCAGTTGCCGCGGCGGCCGCGCGCGGCTGCTGGGCCGCTGCTTGACGACCGCGGCGCAGGCAGGCCAAGCGCCGCTGGTGGCGCTGGCGCTGGAAAGCCGCGCGGACATCGAGCAGCGCATCAACGGGCAGAGCCCCCTGGACAGCGCAGCACAGCATGGCCAGGCCGGGAGAGCTGCTCGAGACTCCGGTAGCCCTTTGGGATTGCATGGTCTCAAGCAGATTCCAAACCAAGCTGCCGCGTTCAGGTGGCAGCGGCGAAAGCCTTGCTGGAGGCTGGTGCCGTGGCAGTGCAGACGGCCCCGGGCCGATGGACGCCTTTGATGCGGGCTACGCAGGGGGGCCACCTTCAGGTTGGTTCGAAGTTCCGAGATCGCAGTCCTTGTTGCCTGGTTGAGCACCATGCTTCCCTGAACAGAAATGCACTTTTGCAAACAGGAATCGATTTGCGTGTGTTTTTCAGGGTGCCCTTTTTCATGTCGCTTTGCAGGGAAAGCAAAGGGACTATTTTGGGGCTGCCCCATTTGGAAACACATCCATTTGCAGCAGAAGGTCGAGTTGACTCTGGAGGTCTGCGAGCTGCTCTTGGTCTGGGAGGTGGACCCAGACGAGTGGGCGGACCGCATGACCGCCCTGGACATCGCAGAGTCGCACTCTCACCAGAAGGCGCTTGGGGCAGAAGGTTGGTCTTTTGTTCAACATCTCGATAGTTGGTTGTTGATGGTTGTTGACCTTGGCTGTGGGTTTTTGGCTGCAGTTCTGCAAACGGAGGTCTCCTGATTTATCATGTTGCAGGGGTATGGCCAGAAGCAGTGGATGAAGTCCAGCATCATGTCCACGGATGTTCTCACTTCTGAACAGCTCAAAGCACCGGGTACATCAATGCTTGACGGGTCCACGAACCTCATTTTTCCCCTGGCCGCTGCCGCCCGGAGACCCGCGCAGGTGGCGGAGGTCTTGCGGCGCAGCGGGGCCTCGAGGTTCCTGGAGCTGCCGCCGGCGCGGCGGCGGCTGGTGGAGAGGCCCTTGAAAGGCGCGACAACGCGCGCGCGCGGCCCCGTGGGCCGCGGGCTATGACCGGATTGTTGCCTCCGGCGGTATTTCCCACGCCCAAAAGGTCCCCCAAGGCAAAATTGGCAGAGACTGATCTGTTTGAGGGAAATCCAACTGCTGCTTCAGGGGCTGTGGTTCGGAGTTCCCGTACATTGGCCAAGTGCTTTTGATGGGGTTGTGGGGTGGGGGGCGGGGGGCAGGTAGTGCCTTTCGGCCACGACCCAGACCACAGCCGGCCAGAAACTTCCGAGGAGCGCTCACCTCAGTTGCAGCCCCTACAGATTTATCTGCGGATGTGTGAAAACCACGGGCTGCTTTCGGGGTGTAAGGGAAGAAACGTGTCACTGAGCCATTTGGAGGCGTGGATATCCCAACAGCTCGACGTCTAGTTGAGTTGCGCAAAGCATTTGCTTGTGCATTGAACAGCACTCAGGTGCTATGGGGCTCTGCAGTCCTACACATGCAATCCAACTCTAGTCGCATCTCGATTGCGGCTGATGATGAGGAAGCCAGCGATGAAGTTTGGTAAAAAGTGTCGCGCGAAGCTTCGGATCTTCGCTTGTATGCAGCACGTAGGTATGCACACGGCAGACAGCGATGCACGTCCTTCGCAGGTCATGGAGTGATGCCCGATGCGCCCGCAAGGATACGAGGATCTCTGAATGGCGACGGCGACGTGAGCTAAAACGACCGAGCTGTGGCTTCTCTTGGTCTCTTTGTCATTTGCCATTTGTACATGTTTCTGTTCAATGGCAACCTCTTGGGCAGGATGTGCGCCTGCGCCTGTCACACTTCTCTGCATGCCAGGCTAACGTGGCGGACTTTGGCAGGTTAGCAGGCCTGTGCGCCGATGCGCCTCATGGGCTTGTGCAGCAAGCCTCACTTTTGTGTCTTGTTTGGGTAGACTCTGCGATTCTGGGAGCTCGTCAACCCGTCCCTGTAGGTGGTATTCTGCAGCATGCGCTCAGAGATGGCACGGCCAGCGCGGGCCCAAGAAAGAGAAGACTACTTGGCCACGCCCGGAGTTTGGATTCGCTATCCGCATTCGCGGAACTCGGACCAGGCGTGGATGCCGCTGGCTCGATCGCGCTGGGCAATGCCACCAAAGCCGTGGCACTGGCCAACGCCATGGCGGAGAGACAGGCCCAACTGCCTGGACGAGTCCGGTGGGTAGATCCCTGAATCAAATGAAAAAGGGCCATGAATCGGACCTCGGGTTTGAACATGAGCGCTTACATGTGCCATGGTAGAAATGCAACTGTTTCTTGAGTTTAAAGGGCTGGTAGGGATGGTCATCAGCCACTGACGATGATATTGAGTCAGCCATGATTCATGTTAACATGCATCGAGAAGCCGGACTTGCGAGGTTGCAGGATGTGTTCTCCATGTTGGCGAAATCGCTCAGTTGATCCAACTCCAGAGCGTGCTGCGATGACCAGCTTTGCACCAGGCTGCGAGCCAGCGCCTAGCTTTCGAGCCGCTGATGGTCACGTCTGAGGCGGCCGGGTCGGCATGAGGCATGAGGCACTCTGCATTGCGAGTCTGGGAGGAATTTGGGGACTGCTGGAAAACAGTTCCGATTCAGCAGCATTTTGCATCTCCCAACATCAGAACGAGCAAGCCGGGCTTGGTAGATTTCCTGCAAAGCTGACGTGCCGCTTTGCAGACAAGAGGCAACTACAATGTACTTCCTTGAATGCCTTGCAGTCTGATCAATCTCTGTTTTGGAAAGCGTGCCTTCTGCCTGGACTCACACAATCGTCAATTTTCTCATTTCTCCTCCAGCCGCCCCCAGCCTAGAAGTGGCCAAAGGTGGTTGGTACATTTGCCCCGCAGCCTATCAGACATCCTATGTCTCTTGGGGAAGGAGCGCTCAAATTTTTCTGGGTCAAGTCGCTGGGCAGGATGCCAGCGGCGAAGACAGGAGCTGGGAGCAGCCCTGGGAGCAGCAGCGTCGGTTCGAGAAGCGTTTGAGTGGAAAGGAAGCTGCTGCGGTTGCTGGTGCGGGCACGGACGCCGCTGGCAGGGGAGGCGAATCGGAACAAAGTGTCAAGACACGTCCGGGGTGGCTATATGTGAGGATCCTTTTTTTGGGTCGTTTGGAAGCAACACTTTCGGAGCAACCATAGTTGTGAATGTCTTTTCATTTTTGACATACCCGGTTAGAGCAGCTTTGAGGGGTGGGGGGCTTCGCAGAGTCAAAGTATTGGAGAAGATGACCGTTGCTTCTCCTGAGCCAGCTCTAAATGGTTCAAGTGTCTGGTCAGGAACCGCCTGACTTTTCTCGTGGTGGTATCTTTGTCGAGTCCCGCAAAGAGGCCTGCCGTGCCTGCTGTGCCTGCGTGTTTCCGTTTCGGGCAGGGAGTTTCTCAAGAGGGTCTTTGGATTGGGGGTTGTCAAACAGACACGGCTGTGGGTCCAAAATAGGGTGGCCCCAAAATGGGTTGCCCTGTAAAAACATAGACGAAAACCTGCGGTTTCCTGGTGGTTTGATTTTGACCCCACACCAGGAGGAAAGCCAAATTTGGGACATGCCTTTATGCAGGCCGAGAAGCAAGTCTCCCCGACGTCCTTGTCCAGGCATCTGCCGGTTTGTTTGCGCCATGCACGCCTGACTGCTGCCCTTGTCTTTCACAGGCCACCCCACCACCTCAAGCCCGCCGTTTGCGTTTTTTTTGATCCATAAACTTCGATAGACATTTCCTCTAGTCTTGAGATCAGCGATTCCGTCCGGGCAAATCGAAAGAGAGAGAGAGAGAGAGCGAGAATGTCACACCTGACCGAGCGAAGCGTGACAGGACAGTTCTTGGGCAGTGGATGCGCTTTGCCGCCCCGGAGATGCGGCAGGTGCCAAACGAGATGGGGTCATGAGCTGCTGACAACTGCACCGATATCTACAGTTGCAAACATGTTTTTTTTGTTTAGAGATTTGGCCACCAGCTTTCAGCCTTCAGTGAACTTGCCTGAGCATCTACCCCAATGCCACGTCAAGTGTAAATGGGATACGAACCTCCCAAGAGGCTTCCCCCGCGGCGGATAAGCAGCCATACTGAACAGTCGTTGTGTTGGGATCAGCGGCCACCACACCTGATTGACCGAACTGCACGTACTGCCGAATTTGCCCAACCCCTACGTTTGGGGCCCCGAAATTTTCAGTGGGCTCTTGCCACTGGAAGTGGTGAGGTTCCTGAAAGGGAAAGTAGGATTCGCGGGAGTATTTCCGCCCGCCGTGGGATGAGCTGCGGTTGGCCGCTTTGCGGCGCTTTGCCGTTGCCAGGCAGCCCGGGAAGCGGCCAGAAGCGGCGGCCAGGCGGCGGCGGTGCGCACCGTGGGCAAGCCGCGAAGCCAAGGGATGCAGGGGCGATGTGGGCATGGTTTTTGTTTTTGTTTTTCCCTTATATATTACGGAGGTCCCTTGGTATTTGAAGGGAACACAAGGGAACCCAAAAGGAGAAACATTTTGAGGGTTCCCTCATGTTGAGACAAGCCCATGTTGAGCCCTGAAAACTGGCCCCTTACAGGGAACATGTTCGAGGTTCTGAAAAAGAGCTGCCCAGTCAAACCAGGAGGGCGAGTTGAGATACGTCCACCCTCCCGCGAGAACAAAGCAAGAAGGGGAGGGACCCTCCTGAGGGGAAGATTGGGGGTCCTGGATGTCTAGAGGAAAGCCTAAAGATTCTTCTTTTAGGGGTCCTCTATTTGGAATCACACCCACAAGCGCCAAAGCGTGTTGGACTTTCAACCACAGAATCCCTTGTGAGTTTCGACAGCCTGACAGCAAGCAGAGGTAGGGATGATCCAAACTGTGTCAAGACTGATAGACCCAATCCAAATCGCAGCCCTTGAAAAGAGAGGGCTCCCAGTTTTTGAAGTCCCTTGTTTGGAGTTGTATTTTGTGTGAGGAGGGAGCTCACAAATGCACCGTTGCTGGTTTGGGGCCCAACCACCGGAGGTTTGTTTGGGGGTTTGTTTTGCCGTTGCAGTTTTTCGGTATGCGCCCCTCATTTTGCCAGCAAGTGTGGCAGGAAGTCAGCCATTCGGAATGAATGGCCCCATTTGATGGGGATCCGAACGGGACTTCCGCGAACAGTACATTTCCTGCTATCAGGCTCCAGGTTCGTGAGGGGCTGCCATTTTGGTTTCCATGATTTCCTTTTTTTTGAAGAAACTGGACATGCTTTGGAGACAGCTGTTGCCCGCAACGCTTCAAACTGGCGCAAGATGCGG